TCCTACTGCTACCACTACTACTACTACTACTACTACTCCTCCTCCTCCTCCTCCTCCTGCTGCTGCTGCTGCTGCTGCTGCTGCTATTACTACTATTGCTACTACTCCTACTCCCGCTCCTGCTCCCACTCCTAGTGCTTCGGCTGCTGCTACTGCCACTGCTCCTACTGCCACTGCCACCGTTGCCGCTGCTGCTGCTACTCCTACTGCCACTACTTATACGGATAGCTACTACCACAACATCCCCTATTACTGCTGCTGCAACCGTGCTCCTCCGCTGCTAGTACTACCACCACCACCGTCTCCACCGGCTCCAGCTATGGCTACCGAGCACTACCACGGCGACGACTCCTAACCACTACGACTAAGTTTGTTTGGTTTACTCGCTGCCGGCAAGTACTACCATTCCGAAGCTGACAATGCAAGTGATTCCTTTGCTCGTTGAGGATCTTTGTAGCCGAATATGTGCAACAATTCGTCTAAAGTGTCCTTGATGGCTCGCAACTCAGCCAGTTTAGTCTGCGAAGGAAGTCTTCGCTCAATAACGGCTATTCAACCCCGATGAGCCCTGGAGTCTAGGCGCCGCATCGTTGGTACTTGGGCACTCGCGCGGCGCAGAGTGGAGCACCAAGTTTCTCATGGGAGGGGTGGGGGAGGTGGTGCGCCACATGTGCGGGTGCCAGCATTCAGAGATGAAGATGATGGGCTGCTTGCACAGTCAATCCTGTGGATTCCTGCTGTAACTATGAGGGTAAGTATCTTTGCGATCATGACGACGCCTTTCTGACGACCGTGGTAACCATCATCAGTGGTCTCTCATAGGTTCGCCCGCATGCTCTCACTTACAGCTACAGCTCTCACGATTTGGGTTACCGACTGCCACGCCTTTGCTGCTTTGTCGCGAAGTCGAGTCTTTGAAGACTCAGCTGCACTTTTGGCTTGCCAGAAGATAGAATACTCGGGGCACAAGCCTATCCTTCATGAAATATGACTCTTTTTTGGGCTGCATGACATCGGCAGCAACCCCCCACCCCCCCCCGCCCATTTCGCCTGATGTATCACAGCATAGCTGCAGCAAGGTCGCCAGGCGGCAGATGTCCCGCCTTGAAATCCTCCCCTTAACGAACTTACAGGTTTCGTTGTGCATTGCGCTCAAGCTTTCAACGTTCCCAGCTCTGGAACCCAGCTCCTATCCTCTGTGCTTTCGGCTGGCGAGCTGCCGTCCGGCCTCATTAAGTGCCAGTGTGCAGTGGAGCAAAATGCTTCAAGCCGAGGTCTTCTCTGCCCACTTGAAGACCAGCTTCACCAACCACTACAACATCCTCCGCCAGGCTGCGAAGCTCAGAGACTGCAGGAGCCAACAGCAGCCTTAGCAGAGGAGTAATCAGTAGCTAAGAGAAGAAGACATGTCTTCCTTAAGAAAGGGCAGCATAGGCAAACATACAAGACTGTCGAAGAAGATTGGCCTTCTTTGACAACTCAACAGGTTTTTGTGAGGGCCACAAAAAAGAAGCAAGAAAAAGCGATGCGGCTTCTTGCGGCCGCGCCAGCATCCTGTCCTGTCCAGGTTGGTGAAGGCACCTATGGTCTGGTCTTCGAGGCTGAGACCATCAAGATCCTTCCGCCAGGAGGTGCCCATTGTTGCTCTTTTGCCGGTCTCTGGCAGATTCTGCGATGGTCTTTGCAATGTGCATGGTGCCAATCGCGGGCTTGGCGGACTTAGGTGTTGCAGGTTCTCAGCCGTCGAATGGCCGGCGAGTGGCCGTCAAGTGCTTCAAGATTGCCGAGGCTAGCACCGGCTCTTCACGAACCCACGACTTGCTAATGTTTTTAGCAGCATCAGATGCATACAAAGCTCGACCCCAGCTCAAAGCCGCCCGACTTTGTGCAGGCCAACTCGCGCGATCCATCTGGTGCGCCCAAACAAGGGCAGGGAAGGGGGTGGAAGTGCAGTAGGACACAGTAGGGTTACATAGTTCGACGACGATTCAGGCCTTCTAAAATAGTGCTACTACGACGACGAGCCTGAAGATACTACGATCAACACCAAGATACGCCGAACCACAGCGACGACTGCTGCTTCTGCTGCAGCTACTCCTACACCTACTGCCTCTTACAGCCACTGTCGCGACCACTACGACGACGACGACGACGACTACTACTACGACCGCAATGGTCGGTGCGCTCAGCAAGTGTGCCTGGGTCAAACGTCCACGTACACACCCACTCCTTTAGGGTTCAGAGTTTCGCACCCACCCACTCCTTTTCGGGTGTGAGGGTTTCGCAGCCACCCACTCCTTTCCGGGTTTGGGGTTTCGCAGCCACCCACTCCTTCAGGGTAGGGTTTCGCACCCACCCACTCTTTTTCGGCCTCAGGGTTTCGCACCCACGCACTCCTTTCAGGGTTTGGGGTTTCGCACACACCCACTCCTTTTAGGGTTCAGGGTTTCGCACCAGGGTTTCTCACCCACCCACTCCGTTTAGGGTTCAGGGTTTCGCAGCCACCCACTCCTTTTGGGGTTCAGGGTTTAGCACCCACCCACTCCGCTTGGGGTTTTGCAGCCACTCACTCCTTTTAGGGTTCAGGGTTTCAACAGCACGCACGCAGAATCCTCGAGACAGTTGTCATTTTCA